TCACATTCCAAACGCTCAGTTTATTTCGAATTTTTTCTATTGACAACAATCATATACATCAGTCATGTAATATTAAGTGAGAAGTAAAAGTTGAGCAAAAAGAACTAAAGGACGATCGAAGCTCGATAAATGTGAAGATCAATCGCTGGCGTCTCGTCAACATTAATTTAAATGAAGATAAGCGAATGTCAAACTTGTCATTACTATTATTCTATTGATGATGGAAAACGTTGCAAGGCTATGTCTTTTAATATAGGGCTTGTTAAAAGATTAGCGATAGTAGGTAAAAGCAACCAATAAATCTACTGTTGAAATTGAAAATTTAATTGTAAATAAATCTTAGTGAATGGTGATCCTAGGAACCAACCTGTCCTAAATGGAGAGTCAAACAGTGGAATGGTGCATATAAGATTGGTTTCAACTTAAAAATGAAAATAATGGTGAAAAAATTTTTATCCTCTTTCGTTATTTGACAGATACTTTTATTTCATAGATGAAACTCTAATTGTGAGATTTCTCAAATATAAATGATGCTTGTATTCATCGAGACTTGGGTTAGAAAGGAGTATAGTGTTATCTAGTGTGTAGGATCAGCATTCTCCAAATTCTATTTACGATCAAATTTTCAATTTCAACATGAATTCTTTTGAGTACTTTTGTCTATTATCGCTAGTCTTGGCAAGAAACTTAATTTGCTTTTATGTAAAGGAATGATTTGAAAAAATACACTTTATGAGGTAACAATCATCAGTACATATATTCACACCAATCTAGCTATTTGCTTTAATAATTTTTCTTCTTTTATTGGAAAAACATTTCAATATTAGAGATATATTTTTCATATACCATGCAAATACTTGTAAATATATATATATTAATAGATCAAAAGAAAAAAGAAAGATCGTTAGTCGTTATTGTATAGTCATAACCATCTATATTTCGTTTAAAATACGAGATTGACGAATACATTTTAAAATTCAATTACCGATCTTCGATATTACAAAAACTTCGAAACGTGGTAGTAACATTCGATTTAACCCTTTAATTCCCATAGCAGTTTAGGAAGAGTCACTAATAAAACAACTATTGAAACAAAGTATTGTCCTCTTCAGTAGGTCAATAATATAGGCAGATCGATCAGGTGCGCTTCTCTGTATGCACAGTACTTTGACAACTCCAGTTGCTATTGGAAGGGAGTAGCGACATGCAAAACTTTTTATAATTTTTTGCACGTAGCTTAAATACAATATATTTTTTTAATTCAACACTACAAATACAGGAAAAACCGACACAAAAAGATTTTTCTGTTTTTTCCTCCACAACATACGTGCTTCTGAAACAACTTTCTATGTACATAAAATTTGTTTTTTCTTGAAGTAATTAAACCATCAAGCAAAAGATACAATTATTGATTCATTCTTCTTCAACTTCGTATAGGATAAGATTTTAAAGAATGAGAGTTTGGATCTCTTCTTGTCCGAAGCCGATACCCACATTCATATATACCTATACTAAACATTTATATAACACCAAATGATGCTTGTATTTATAAATAATGGCAATCTATTTACTGATCTATGCGTAAATATTAACAAGTATTGCGTTCAGACAAACATTCGAAATCTTTTTATCATATCATTACCTCCAATAGCAACTCCAGATGTCATTTTATGTTGTTCATTTCTTGTTCAGCTAATTCGTTTGAAAATTTTTAAACGCATTCTATTCCATAGCAGCAACTCCCGTCGATATTTATCACACAGCACATCATCAAGATAATTATTTCTCGTGGTTAAAGAAAAAAAAACAATTTAAAAAGATGTTCTTTTTTTTTTCATAATCTCATAATCAACTCTTGTGTAAGTCGTATATCTTAGAAATAGAGTAAGGATATAAAAATTTTTTTTATCCAATCGGTAGCTTAGGAAATCTTCTACACACAGTGTGTCAAGAGTTTTCTGATATCACGTATTCTGCATTTTCTGCAATGTTTCAAAAAATGGTAATTCCAGTTGCCAATGGGGAGATAAAGAGTTGTTAACTGTTGTTGCTGAAAGTTGTTTTCACTATCTCAAAAAAGAATTGAGTTCTCATTTCAAGAATCACCATTTTATACAGCAATTTGGGAATAAATGGAACTTCGTATCGAAGTTTCGAAAAAATATTGATCATATAGGAACACTTCTAACAAAGGCTCAACGAAAATCGTAGAACTCTCGAATATTTAGATCATCGCAATATCTTGAATATCATAACTTTCATACATTGTTTTTTTTTTTGTAGTTGAACTGAAAACAGTGAGCCAACAAATTTCCTCGTATGCATATATATCAATATGCTTGTTCATTTTATTATTTGAATAAAATTATATACAAGTTCATATCTAGATAGACAGCTTAAAAAATTTCATTGTTCGGATAAAAAAAAAACAAAAGTACTAGTTCACAAAGAGAAAAAAGTATATTCTAACAAATTGTTATCTATCGATTTCTTCAATCGGATTCTTCTATAAAAAAAAAGAAAAATAATGAAGTTCTATTCAAAACAAAAAAAAAAATATTAATGTAGCGTGTTTACCCATGGAATAATGTAGAGCTATTGATGATCGTTCTAAATGAACATAGACAGAATCCATTTCTTCTTCATCTTTTGTTGTATTTTGTGTTTTCTAAAAGAGAAAATAAAATCTTCAAAAAAAAACAGAATAATAATAATCTGGTTACCGATTGATCAGATATAATTGTCTCTTGTTCATATGCTAATTTCTTTTTAGCTAAAAGAAAACTTTTCTTTTTAATGTTACATATTTGATATATAAAATATACCCGATGCTTGTTGTTGAAGTTTTTTTGTAACACTACGAAGAAGTCGAGGTGAATCAATACTGATTTGACTATCACTAGTATCCATTAATGTTGACTATTAAATAAATGAAATATAATTGAAATATCATTAAAGAAGAATTTTTTACTTGAATAGATGTTTGATCATCAATTCGATTACGACGTGATGTACGTGGTGTTTTCGGTGGTGTGCTATGTTCTAAATTATAAAGATAAAAGAATTGAAAAACAAAAATAAATTTGAGAATTAATACCAGCTACAAGATCATCATCATCACCCATTCGATCAGCTGTAGGTCGTTTACGTGTTGTTGGTGGTGTAAATATTGATTCAGTAGTCGAAGTAGCCGAAGATATTATCTTTGAGAATAAATCAAAATTAAATAAATAATATTTAAAACAAAAAAAAAATAATTTACTGAAACATCAGATAAATCATCAGATTTTTTCGTTGGAACAACTGCAGCATGTTTTGATTGCTTTGTTTTTTGTCGACTGAAAAGTTTTTTAAATTGTTCATTATCATCATCATTATCATTATCTTGAATTTGCATAGAAGCTATTTTTTTTCGAGTAGTTGCCATTTGACCACGTACAGTTGGTGCACGTCCTCCTGTACTTCGACGTTCCATAGCAATCATCGGTGTACTTGCTGTTGAAATATCAGTTGCAGTAATAGTTGATGGTGTTGGTGAAGTTACATTAGCAGGTGGACGAACATCAGGTGTTGAAACTTCATAGATAGCTGAAAGAAGTGGTGTTTCATCGCTACCACCTAAAGTAATACGAGATGCTGTTTCACCAGGTTTAGGTGTACTTGTATGACGTATAAGAACTAGATCAGAAACATTTGGTGTTGATGATGTTACAGGAGCTGGTGTACGTGATGGTGTAATTAAAGATTCTGAAAATGTTTAAAAAAAAAAAAGAAGATTGATTTTTATTTTTTTAGATCATCAACTTACTAACTGTTGATAATAAACCTGTTTTCTTTTTACTTCTTGTTGATATTGATGATGTTATTGATGGAAGATTAGGTCCACTTTTACTTGAATCTAAATTGATTGAATGAAAAGAAAGGAAAACAAAAAAGAAGATTTTATTTTTTCATATTAAGAAATAAAATTTAATTTTACCAATTGATGTTGTCAATTTTTTAGTACTTTTCTTTAATTTTGGTGATATAACTAGAAGTGTTGATAAATTTAAAATAAAAAACAACAATATAATAATTATATTTACCAATAGTTGGTTGTATTGGAGATTTTAATTGTTTATCAATAAATAAATTTGCTTTTGTAGGCAAATCATCTGATTGAATACTTGATCCAGATAATTGACGAGTCTAAAAATATAAATTCTAATACAATCCAAAAATTTCAATTCGTTGCTTTTTCTTTTTATACACTCGGTAAAAATTTCAACCATATTTTTCCATCTGATGTTGTTAATCGACCCATTAGATGATTTGTTTCATTTTCCATATAAACTTTTTTAATATTTTGTTTAACAAAATGAAATGGTGTTGGAATTTTATTTTCCTTATGTTCAACTATAAAAACAAAACAAAAAAGAAAAATAAAACAAATTAGATTATCTATATAAAAGAAAAATAAAGTTTACATTGATCAAGTACCGATAAAACAAATGTAAGTTCAACATCCTTTGGTAAAGCATCATTCCAATTAAACATATATTCTATTTGATGTATTATATGAGCAATCATATGAATAGATGTTGTTAATTCATCATCAGATAATTTTATTGTATAATCAAATACAAGTGAATATGAATCATAAATCTAAATTAAATATTTCAAAATAGAAAACAACAATAACTATTTTTCTTTTTATAAAATTTATTTTACTATATTAATATCATTCTTTTTGTAAAAGATCATTGTTATACTAAGAATATGTTGTTTACGAACACCATCAACAATAGTACGTAAAATTTCTGTAAGTTTATACATTAATGATGGACTTGTTCGACTCAATGGTCGAAGACCACAGATTGGAGTTTCTTAAACAAACAAAAAACAACCTACATAAAATATAAGGAATTGAAAATAAATACGAACCACCAATAACAATTCGATTAAAACAATAATTTGGAAGATATTTTAATTTTTGAAGCATTGTTGATATAAGTGTATATGTCATCATTGGAAGTAAAACAAGTTGTTTTGTTCCATCTGTTTGAATAATTGATTCTTTTCCATCGATTGTTAATGATTGATTGTATAAATTTTGCCACTAGACAAATAATGAGAAAAAGCAAAATATTTATAAAAAAAAAATGGTTTATATTTACTAATTTTAATTCATCAGGAGAAAGTGAATAATTATTCGTCATGATTCAATGTTCGATTAGATGAAGAATAACTAGAAATGATACGACTAAACTGACTATATGTGCGACTAGAAAAAGAAAAAGAGAATGAAAAATATATACGTCGACTATTTTCTTATGTTTAGTCAGAAAATTTTTGTCGCTTAACCATACATGATCTTTCTTTATAACTGATTTATGATGACCCACTTGGTTTTTATAGACTGACAAAATAAATTTCTGGATATAGTTGCATATAACCTGTTAACATGCATATACAAAAGTAGTAGACAAATGTTTTTTTTTCTCGATGATATTATTTCTTTTTTTTTTTTTAATAAGTACAAATAGTATTAATAAATTTGCATTGCTGTTTCAATATATAAGCATTCTTTGCACTAAAGAAAAATATGTTCACAGTAACTGATCAATCATAATTTATTTATAAGCCACCTGCTTATTCATACAACATTGAATTGTTATTAATCAAGCCATACCAAATAATTTAATCAGCGACAATCGCTTGAGCCTTACTGTTCGACTGTTTTGAAGCATGTTACAGAAGAGAGAAGCAGATATGGTTGGATTACCATTTTCTAAATTCTCTCCTTTAAGTTTAGAATATTAACGAGGTCTTCTATATTGATCATGTATCTTTACTTGCTTGTTGAATCATGTTCAAATATTGATTTTGAAAGATAACTATTTATAAGAAACACATCAATAAATAATGATCTTTGTGAATAATATTCTTAAATGATTCTTAGAAATTCTATCTGATTCTCTTATAGTGATTTGTTAGATATTTGAGATAACTTATTGAACAATATATTTTTTATTATCCTAACATTTTTATTTATATAAAAAAAAAACAAAAAAAATTTATATCCGACTAGAACGGCATCATCTTCCATTTTCCTTGTCGTTTATGATATTTAATTAATTCATATTTATACCAATCCGGTACCCATTTTTCATTCGGTATTGCTAATGGATATTTTGGTACATTAGGATAACCATTAAATGGACATGTCATTGTTAAATAATGTTTAATAACTTCTTCATTAACATCTTTTCGATCACGATATTGTTCTAGATAAGTATGAAATGGTGTCATTTCAACACTGAATTGTTGTGGTGGTACATATCGTGGTTCAAAATCAAATTCATAACGAGGTTCTTTCATACCTAGATAATCACAAATTAGAATAAAAAAAAAAAAAGTTAAATTTTACAAATTAAATTTACCTAATATATTATAAAATATATTTTTAACACTTATATCCCATGTAACTTGAAAGAAAGCTAAACTAATTGGTCGTAAATGTGAACAGAGTTTATTGAAAAAATCAATTGTACGAAAAGTACGTTTTTCCAGACTAACACTAAAAATAAAATAAAAAAAAAAAAACAATAATAATATCAACAGATTCTATCTCTCAATAACATTTGATTTTTTTATAAATAAAATATTATTCAAAATTATCTATAAATCTTTCAGAAAACTGTCATATTCGATAATAAACAATAAAAATCATTTAACTCAAAATGATTTATCAAAAGTCTATTCTAATATAAAATCTATAAATAATTTTCAATACAAATATACCTGTTTCCAGGAAGTGATCCATATAATTGAGAAAAATTAATTGGTCCATTTTTATGTTTATATAATAAAAATACACATCGATGCCATCCACTACCATTAGGAGGAAATGGAGGTAAATATGTACATAGAGTTTCACCTTTATCAATTTGATTACCAGGAATATTTCCTCTTAAATAAATAATCAATATATAAATCGAATATCAATTAAATATATTTATTAACATACACAAACCAATGAAGAACTTCAGCATCATCTTCTTTTAAATGTCCATCAAGATTTGTAAATATTAATGTATAATATTCATTTTCTTTATTTGTACTTTTCCATTCAACTTGAGGTTTTTCACTTGCCTAAAAATATTAATAGAAAAAAAAAGAAGAATTTTCTTATTTTTTTTCTTCAAATAATTAATTAATTTACATCTTTTGCATAAAGTCGATTTCCACTATAAACAGGTGTTACTTGTTCATCACTATATGGATAATTTATATGCAATGGTATACGAGGAATAAAATAACCATGTTTAAATAAATCATCAAAAAGACCATAATGATCAGCAATCATACGAAGATTTTCGGAAAAATATTTACTTGACAACCAATCATTATGAACTTCATCGATTGGAAGTCGAACTTAGAAAAAAAAAACAAATAGATAAAATTATAAATTTTAAAATATTTGTTTTTTTTGTTTGTTTATAACACATACGAGCTCCATCGTAATGTAATTTTTTTAAATCAGCTCGATTTCGTTGAGTAGTATAATGTTCAAAACGATTACGACTTTCTGCTGTAGAAATGGAATCTATTGGTGATAAATAACCAATATTTACTTTATCAACACGTATTGGTTGAGGATCAAATTCTGTACAAAACAAAAGAGAGAAAAAAAAACAACAAAAATTTCAAAAAATTTATCGATTTAGTTGAAATTTTACTTTACCATGACGTCGTTCTTCTAATGTTTTTAATTCCATATCTTTTGTATAAACTTCATCATGTGTAACTTCAAATTGTGTTTTATTTCTATATGGAAATCTTTTTCTCCATATAGCTGTTGTATAAGGCATTGGATCAGGCATTGGAATAACACGATGATAACGTATACTTTCCAATTGAATATTCCATATTAATTTTAATAGATTTTTTCTTATAATAATAGACATCTAAAATGCAAAATGGAGCGTTTTTGTTCGTATGTATTTTAATCATAATGACAATTAAACAACTATCTTCTTATCTAATATTGCATGTTAAACTACAATCACTTGGAAATATACGAACTTTTCACCAACTAAATATGGACGAAATAGAAAAAATAGAATAAAAAAAGAATTAGTTTTTAGATTTTTCATCGGGATGTGTATAATGATAATGCGCAATACGTAATAATTGTTGAAGACCAGTTAAACCAAGAGCAAAATTGACCAGACCAAGAAAATAATTTTTCGGTATTATAACCATACAATACTAAAAAACAAGAAGAAGAATAGAGAAAGAAAATTTATTATTATTGAAATTCTAATGAAAACATACTCGAGACCAAATTAATCCTGTAGCAGCAAGTGATATTGATTGATTCAATGAAAGCTTATCAGCGGGACGCATTAAATCTCCAAGACCAGCAAGAACTAAAGAACTTTTCATAACAGCTAGAAATAAATACAATCAATATTATAAATTAATTAGACATAGAATAAATACATACGCGACCAAAAATGTACATATTTTGGACCGGCTAGAATAGATATAAAATAAATAAGAATCATAGATAAAAAATTAATTTACCTGGATGCTCCCATTTAACAACTTTTTTCATTGATGGTGATAAAACTCGATCGCCAATACCGACGAGCATTCGATAGACATCTGATAGAATAAACATAGCTGATCAATCTAAAATGTACTACATAATATAAAATTGATAATAGAATAATTAATGAGTAAAAAAAGAAAATATTTTTATTAAGGTTAGCTAAAATTAGGTTGACTAAAATTTTCATACAATTTAGATGAGTAAATATTGATCGGTATTAATTGAGTGAGTGTCATATTTGATAATTGAGTGAGTGTCATCTTTTTTAATTGAGTGAATGTCATTTTTGTTCTTTGAGTTTTCTTTTTTTTTAATTTTTAGGTGGTGCATCTGGATGTGTATGGCGATAATAAGCAATACGAGCAAGTTGTTGTCCACCAACAAAAGCTAAGAAAATATTTACGGCAAAAAGCATATAATTTTTTGGTATAATAACCATTGAATATCGACTCCATATAGCACCAGTAGCAAATAAAGATATCGATTGATTCAATGAAAGTTTATTAGCCGGACGAAGCATATCACCAAAACCAGCTGCAACTAATGACCATTTCATTAATGGAGCCCAAAAATGTATATATTTCATTCCTGCAGGATGTTCCCTATTGATTAAAAAGTTAAAAAAAAGTATTAAATAAAATAATTAATAAAATATCTATCTACCATTTGACAATCTAAATTCAATATAAAAGAAAAAAGTATAACTACATTTCTAATAAAAAAACAAATTCTTCTTTAAAATACCTTTTTCATGCTCGGTGTTAAGACTCGATCACCAACACCGATTGCAACACGATAAAGATCCGAAAGTATAAACATTTTTTTTCCTTTATCCTATCTAAATGAAAAACAAAAAAAAAATGTCTTTATTATCATTCTTCTCTTCAATGAGATTCATATAAATGCTTATAGATACAATATAATTATAATTCTCAAGATTTTGAATACAATGAAAGAAGAAAACAAAACGAATAAAATCAAAATATACCGAATATAATCCATAGAAACTAAGCGAATCTTCTTCAATTATATTCTGTTCTTATTATATATCCAATGTACAATGTAGCAAAGAAAAAAGGACGGTGACATATATGTAAATACAACATTAAACAAAAAAACAACAACCAACAAATAAACATTGACTATCATGAAAAAAAAAACATACATAAACATATAGATGTATCTATTATTGTTTTTTTTTTCTAAAATAAGTTATTGCACTTGAAAAAGGAAGTGAAAAAGAAATACACACACACACACACACACACAGAGATGAACATTATCAAAACGATTCTTCCAAAAGAAAGAACACCGTATATTTCACTTAAATATATTAATATAAAAAATATGAATAGAAGTGAAAATCACTGTATTTTTTTTATTCAACAGGAAAAATGAAAAGAAAAAAATAATAAATAATATTAACTAAAACCAGGTGGTGGTACACCAACATCGATCAAAAGATGTGTAAATAATGGATAAGCTATGGCAGACGTGAGATTATATCGAGCAGATGACACACCATCCCATGTATAACGTTTAGCTGCTGAATAAAGTAATTTTGCTCTAAAACAAAAAAAAAAAGATAATAATTATAAAATATGAAAAGATAATTACTTATACATACCGTTTATTCCATATAGATGGTACACGTTTGGTATGTGCTAACATTTTATATCGAGCTATTGTTGCTGGTGGACGAATTACTTTTATAGATAATTCTTTTAATCTAAAGAACAAAAAAAATTAATTTTTTTTCATTTGAAATATTTTTTTTCCTTACCGATAATAAAGATCATCATCTTCTGCTCCCCAACCCCAATAGAGATTACTATAACCATTAACTGTTAAAAAATGATCAGGACGTATATTAAATACGCCACCAATAAGTTCTTCATAAGTTAACCTACAAAATAAAATATGAATTATATAAAAATTTTTTAATTATTTTTTTTTTTTTTTGTTCATACTTATAATTCATTTCATCAACAGCAACAGACATATGTCTTGGAAAAATTGGACATGAATACATATTACGATCATCTTCTGGTATTAAATCAACATCATGAAAGACAAAACATTGAAAATCATATTCACTAAGTCCATATATAAAAGCAGCATTCATTAAAACAGCTTTATTATATGTTCCATTTCCTGTTTGTTCAGAAACATAAATTTTATAATCAAGTTCTTGTCGTTGTAATATTGGATGTAAATAATAAAGTAATGTTACTAAATGTTCAAATCGATCTCGATATGGAATAATAATCGCTACCTATTTAAACAAAAGAAATCATCATTTTTTGTATGATTAATTATTTATTTATTTTTTTTTGTTTAGCATTTTATAAGAATTAAGTGTTGAAAAAATGAATACAAGCAGCGATCTTTTTGATATGAAACTTACTGAATTTTTCTTTCTATCAAAAATGTCCTATGTGACAAAATGATTTTTTTTTTCTGCAAGACAAACAATCTTTTAACATCATGTAAATTGTCTTATAATTTACCCTATGACGAGCAATACAATGAGATGGTGACCATTGTCCTCCAGATCTAACATTGGTATAATTAGTTTCAATTTCATATAATGATACATTAGGAAAAGTTGAATTTTCATCAAGATATCGACCACCTAGAATAAGAATAAAATATTTATTTGTTGTTGTTTATTTTTGTTTTGTTTTTTTAACTTACGAAGATAACGAGGTTCTTCTTGACAATAATTTCTTTTTCGTTTATTATAATTATTATTTGTATAATTATTTTTTATTTCTCGATTTTTCCATTGATAATATTCATCGTCATCTATTAATGCTACTAAACGATTTTGTACATTTTTTATATTATTCATTAAATGATTACTATTATTTTCTTGTAATAATAATTCATCAGATTTATTTAATAATGGTTTTAATAATTGTTTTATAGTTATATTTGTTTTTGTTTGATTATTAAATGTATCAAATAATAATTCAAATCGATAAAGATATGTTTGTATTTGAAATAGAAGACGCCATTTATCTATAGGTAAAACATTATTACGTAAAAGTGCTTCCATACTTTCATCCATTTGTTTAAGTTCTTCTTGAACTTTTTGCATTGCTGAAAAATTTGTTCCATAACGTGATGTATGAACAACAAGAATTTGTGATAATGAAATAACAAGAAGAAATAAAAAAAATAATAAAATAAGTATTGATGAAATGTCACGACTAAGTAAATTCGATGATACTGGTTCATGATTATAACGATATAATCGATGATTAGAATGTGATGATTCTTGTTCTTGATCATGAAATGATGATGATGATGATGATGTTAAAACTGAATGATGCCTACCGTAAGCGTATAACATTCGTTGAATATATTTAGAATATACTTTCGTTTGTTCTTTTTTTTTTTTATACTAAGACGATTCTCATTGTTCGATATAAATTTAATTTAAAATGACTATGAAATAATACTACTATTGACAATCTAAAAATAGAATAGAATAAATATGATATTTTGTTTCAATTACAATATTTTTTATCTGACACAAACATAGATGAAGACCTTTAAATAATTAACATCATTTTTCTGACGATACCACCCAGCGCTCTTCTTGTTTCGTTCTGTCTGTTTCTGTAATTTGTAAATTACCTTTCTACATGTATTCTCTTTCATTCTTCACTAACTATACGAATACTTGACTTTTTTTTATAATTGCATCTGTGATGCACACTATAAATACTATACGAAATAATAGCAAACTTAAAAGAAAAAACGGCATATAACAAATACGAAAAAAAAAAGAAGAATTTCAGATGAATATCTTCATAATATTGTAATATTTTTATTGATAGTGATGTTCTTTTTCAGATCCAATTTTCTTCTTTTTTTTTATCTTTGACAGCCTATTCTTTTCTCTAAGGGAACAAACGCATTTCGACTCATTCTTTTTGTAAAGAATAAACAAGTATGAGAAGGAGAAGAAGAGAAAGAGAGAACATTTGGTATGATAACAGAAACAAAAAAAATAATAATTTTTTTTATAATTAGACAAAGGTTTTGAGTATAGCAATACTTAAGTAACAAGAGTCTCATTTATAGAAAACAACATGTCAATATGATGACAATAGTGTATATCGATTGAAATTAGATTTATAAAATTATCGATTAGAGACAAAAGAACAAAGAAAATATGAGAAATTTATTTTGTGTATATGATTAATCAATAATGCCCAGAAAATAGAAACAAATTCTGTTTAGATGAAAAAAAAACCGAAATCAATTCTATTTGCCAAACCGTTTTCATTAGTTGTAACAAAAGAAAAATCAATTAAATAAAGAATAACAGACAAAAACAAAACAAAAAGTTACCCTATGATAAATAAATAACGAAGAGAAAATAATCAAAACAAAACAAAAAAAAGTAACAATAACATAGAATCATAATAAAAGTCACGTAAGTGATATTGAAAGAAAACCTCACTTGAATATTTCTCTATTTTTGTTTTTTTTGTGTTACATAATTTGTTGTCGATCCTGTTGTAGTTCCATGAATAGTAGTTGAAATACGATTGAGATAGTAAAGAGCAATTAACGAAAAGATCATGCTAGAATAAAGATGATTATTATTTTGAATACATAAAAAAAGAAAACGATATAAATTATTAATGAGAAATAAGTTTTTTGTTTTTTTACTTAAGAATTTTATACACCGATATGACATTATGCATAGTGTTATTTTCAAAACCATTAATCAATATTTTGACCTTCATAGTCTTCTGGGAATTGAATGATAAGATTTTTTTTTTTTTTCTTAATCTAATTCTTACATTTAGTCTTACAGTAGGGAAATACCACAAAACAAATTGATTGTCTAATCTTAATCCGTCTCTTTTTTCTTCAATGTTGAATACTTATTTGAGATTTGCATTATTTTCATATATTATTCATTAAAAAAAGAAATAAATGTACATGAAACGTTTTTTTATTTTTTATAAAACTAGTATATAAATATGTAGAATTGAACTGATTAATAAAATATAATCAATGTATATTATTAAGACAACTAGAATATACATTTGTAGTTAGTACATGTTTCTAGGAAACGTCGATGCGTTTTCTTATGTGGAATAGTTTTATAATTGTAGTAGAAATTGTTTTTCTTTTTTTGAATTCTACGCATTCCAACAAAACAAGTAAAATACTTAATAACTTGAATTCTGTATGTAAGAATGATATACGACTTGTTCACAGGTAATATACTTATGTTTTGACAGCTTTTAAACATTATTTATTCCAAACAACCAAGCGTAGATATTCGAAATTCGGTGTATTGATGCATGCTCGAAGTTCATTAAGACTTTTTAAGTTACACTTGAATCGACTTCAAGGTTTATATTTAATAAGTATGTGTGGGTAACGCACTCACACAAAAGACCCATTTTTGTTTTCGATGATATTAGAAATATTAAAGGTCTTGCGAATGTTCAGATTCTTAAAAAACATACGATCTATAGCAAGTTTATAGTTGGAAATTAAAGGTATCTGTTCGAAAAAGACGTTCTCAGAATGATTGTATTATATAGTCAAAATATTTTAGTAACGCACTCACGCATCTGAAAGTATCAGCCAATTGGCTACGAACTATCTAGTTCCGACAGACTAGGCTAAAAATCTAATTTTCAGTTTTAGACTCTTCCGAGGTAGAGGCCGTCGGGTAGGTTTCAAATCCGACCGGACTCGATTTTGGGTGTAAAGGTGTCCCCTCCGTCGAATTCGACTGTAGACTTAAGAGTTTTCACCTGACCGGAACTTAGTCCTGGTTCAAGAGCATCCTAACGGGTGTTACTCTAAAAAAACAAGAGGTAATTTTAATCTGATTTTTATAATAATACCATTGAGATTCTCTGAAAAACGTATATAGCATGCTTGTCGATGAATAAAAACAATCGAGAAAAAGATCTGATATCTTCCGAACGACCATCCGA